GTTAGGTTGAATTAGAGCTATTCTATTCTTATTCCTAAGCTCTGTGTTAGGTTTTTAATGCAATTGTAATGTTATTTGTCTCAAGAGTTTATATAAAATACTTTAGTTATTTATCCTTGAGAATATACTTTGTTAAAAACATCCATCAAAATACGGATATATGAAAAACTCTGTTTTAAATAAGCATGAGAAAATTTAAAACATGAGCCTGCCTGTATAGATCCTTTTTTCAACTAGTTTCTCAGAGGTACTTTTCTCTGAAAACACCGTGTTAGGGGTGTTGGTCAGCCATGGAACGCTAGGTGTCGCTGTGGTTTTCAAACCTAACTTTGTCGGTGGTCAAATCTCGCACAAAACCGCGTTGTTTCCAAATCCCGTTCCTCTTTCAGCCAACCTCCAAGATGGTAGGTGCAACAATGCATTCCCTGGCTAGAGACTTTATATATAATCTGTCCCAATCCTTGTTTGTTATCACAAATTATACAACATTTACTGTATCTAAACATACACCCATCTATAATTTACCTTTCCTGGGTGTTATTTTCATGGTTTGGTAGGTTTTTAATAGTTGATAGGAGTTTGCAATGGGCTTACCCGGTTTTCGCTGGGCCGATGCACTATTACTGGTCAACAGCTTTTTCTGTGCTAGCGTACATAAAACCCGCACTAAATATACATACACGTACTTTTATAATTATATTTACAGCCCTTCTGGTAGTAAATCTACATGTACCTTTTGTCGTACTAACAGAAATAAGCCATCGGCTAGTGAGTGATGTTGTTAGCTACCTAGCTCGTAGCTCCTGGCATGCGTAAAGACTTGCATCCTGTGATGAGTTCCATGAATGCGTTAGAACTGTTCAGATAGGCTGTCATTCAACCAAGCGTATCTAGTCTGCTCTGGTAGATAGACGTTTGGTGAAGAGATAACTGCTGTAAATGTTAACTATCATACTGTTCCTGACAGCCCACCAAGAATTCCAAAACCAGGAAGCTCCGTGGACACGTGAGCCATGGACATGGTCGTGTTGGTGAGCATCCTTTGTTTATTAAGTGAAGATTTAAGGATTGTGTAGAGTTGTTCATAACAGCAGATTGTCTCTCTCCACAGGTAAACACAGGAAGCATCCTGGAGGTCGTGGTAATGCTGGTGGTATGCATCACCACAGAATCAACTTCGATAAATAGTAAGGATGTGAGATTATCTGTATGCACAATACATTTCATCTGCTTCCTTTAGCGTAACTATAGTTGATTTGTTTGAACAGGCTCTGTGCTCTAGGAGAGCCTGCAGATTGCTGCTTGACTTTCTCCTTGTAGCTTCACTTTGTATTCTCACTGCTTCTGTGTTCTTTTACGTTAAGTAAAAAAAAAGCTGAATTTGTTTTCTGGTCAGCTAGAGGACTGACTGGGAGGGTGTGGACAGGTTGTACAGTGTTGTATGCCAGGGGTGCTGAAGTCCAGTCCTCAAGAGCTACTATCCTGTAAATTTGATGCACCCCATTTTAACAAACCTGAATCAAATGAATGGCTCGTTACCGTGCCTCTGCAGGGCTAAATGAGGGGATTGAGCCTTTCAATTGAGGTGTTTTGGAGAAGGAAGAGATGCATCTAAAAGTTACAGGATGGTGGCTCTTGAGGACTGGACTTGAGCACTCCTGCTGTATATGTAGTGGGGAAGAAAGTGTTCAACTATTCGCCCTAGTTAAATAAACGGATCGATGGATTTCACTCAGTCAGCCCTTTATCAAATCTTCGCAAAGAGAGAACATCATCATACAGCCCTAATGGCACAGCATTCAGCCCTGTTCTGCCTGAGCAGCGTGTGTCCCCCCCTTACTTACAACAATGGAAAGTAGTTAGAGTCAAAACAAATTACACTTTGGTAAAGTTTAACATGTTATGAATCAACCTTGAGAAAGAATCTGGCTTGTTTTGGGAAGAAGCTTTGGTGAATCTGGTCTACAAACATCCTCACGCAGAGAATTGTGTGGTCTTACAGGTGAAACAGACTGAGTGAAAACTTTAATAGTGAGGGAATAGGATAAATATATGAAAGAGAAATCTAAATTTTCCGAAAACAGCAGGGATGCAACAACAGCCATCAGGATAATATAAAACACCTTGGGTTGCTCTAAACTATTAATGCTCTTAAGCCCTGTGCAAAGGAATATAAAGGCTCCTCGATTTGCGTGCTAACTTTGATCTAAATGTGTTTCCTCAGCCATCCGGGCTACTTTGGGAAGGTGGGAATGAGACATTACCACTTGAAAAGGAATACATCCTACTGCCCCACCATCAACCTGGACAAACTGTGGACGCTGGTGAGCGAGCAGACCAGGCTCAACTATGCCAGGAAGCCCGATGGCCCAGCGCCTGTCATCGATGCTGTGCGCGCTGTGAGTACTGAGTTTAGGTTTGCTCATTGTCACTTAAAGGCCAGATCAACTGGGAAGTTTTTGTTCTTAAATTCCTATTTATTCATCAAGAAGTGGCTATATGTGGAACTTATGTAAATTGTTTGTGGGGGATTTAGTTTTTAAACATGGGTCGTTTATACCGCAGAAGCATTATAATAGTTTATTTATTTTTCATTGCAAAAGTGCTACAGCACAGTGAGGCTAAAGGGTTTGTAAGCAGGGTATTTGCCTTAGCTGTAGATTGATAAATCAGCCAATGTTTTTGTCTGAGATTGGTCTTTTTTTTTCCTTGCATTAGCCAATAAATACAGTTTATACATACAGTCCCCCATTTAGAAGCCATGGCTTCAGATTCTCTAAAGTGTTGGAATTTACCCTCCCTCCGTTTACTATCCAATCGTAAATTTTAAATCGTGGGGAGTGGTGGCCTAGGGGTTAGGACGTTGTGCTTGGCCTCCAGGAGTTCTGAGTTCAAGCCCCACTTCCACAGGGACCACACACTGGGTCCCTAAGCAAGACCCTTAACTCCCACTCTGCTCCCTGGGCGCTGCACAAAGGCAGCCCACTGCTCCGCGAGGGGATGGGTTAAATGCAGAGAGTGAATTTCTCCAGTGTGAGATAAAGTTCAATATTATTAAGGTTTCTATTTTGTTTAGACTAAGGTGTTTATCTTTGTCATTTCTTTCTAGCAAACAAAAATCCATTTTAAAAATAATTACATTCGTCAACCTTTAAAATCCGCAGGTTAGAATACGACAGCCGTGTTATCAAACTGTTTTTAAATCCAGTTGAAACGGTTTGTTGTAGCTCTGAAACAATTTATCGGATTAATAATCGTGATTAATCGATTATTGAAATAATGATCTAATTTAATTGTTAACTGGAGTATAGAGGCTGTAAAACATGCCTTTAGCTGACAAAAACCCACTTAGAGCAGTAATTTTTTTCAAAATTGTAAAAAAAAAAAAAAAAAGGTAAACATTTTTGCATTTAAGATTTTAAAAAAACTTTTAATATGCTCTTATCCAGACCTCAATGGGAGATGTTTTAGTTTCACCTGATTTAATTTAATTTTAAAAATAATCTTTAAGGTTTTTTTTGGATATCCAATTATTGATTAATTGAAAAAAAAAAAACATAATCAACAGAGAAGTCAATTTGTGAAATAATAGTTAGTTGCAGCCCTAGTTTTGAGTGCAGGACTTGGTACAGGAAGTGGAATGAGGCAGAGACATTTTAATAACTTCAGTTCTAAAAAAAAAATGGTTTTAAGGTGAGGTTGTGTATATTTTTAGATAAGTTTGTACCTGTTGCATCTAAGAGGAGATCAAATATATTCCTGTAAATTTGAAAGTTGTGATGAAGTGAGCGAGCTCTTTGGACAGTTGAATGGACTCTGGCTGCCGTTGATTAAATCCTCTGATTTTAGCTATTTAAAGCTCTTGGAGGATGTTTGGAAATATTGTTTTACCCCCACTAAAATTTGTAGTATTCAGAAGTAATGTTTCTATATCTGCCCAAATTAAATGAGCCAGAAAGCAGTTTTTCTTCAGTGTTAAAAAAAATTTCTCTCCCCTTCTCCTCCACAGGGTTATTACAAAGTTCTGGGAAAAGGCAAACTGCCCAAGCAGCCCGTAATCGTCAAGGCAAAGTTCTTCAGCCGGAAGGCCGAGGAGAAGATCAAGGAAGTGGGAGGAGCCTGTGTGCTGATGGCATAATGTTCCTTTCTACTTGTTTTGGAAAAATAAACTATGTAAATGGAACCTGTTGTCTTCTCTTTCATTCGGTCACTTTAGAGCGGGGGGGGGGCGTTGAAATTATCGCTACCCTGAAAAGTATTGATACTCAAAAGCTGTATCCAGATACATTATTAATTTGGCTGTCGATACTTAATACATTGTTTTTACTATTATGTCTAGATTAGTCACATATTAAAAGAATAAAGTATTGCCAAATGTTAATATTTGGATCCTTTTGTTCGTTTGTTAACTTATTTAACTATTAGAATCTGGGTTGATGTTGAGAAAAAGCCATTTTCAGATTAGATAAGGGGAGTTTTTTCATACCTTTCATATTGAAGAGGGGGGTTCCCACAATATCAAATATATTTTGGGGTATGGAGTATTGCATTTTAGTATAGTGACAACACTACAGTGAGCTCTGGAATAAATTCAAGCTGGAATAGGCCTGGCTGTTTTCTGGGTCGCTGTTGGACCAATTATATGAATGATGAATGGTAGGACAGTTTTGAATTCAACAGACAGGAAGCAAAATCCATTAAATTATTTCTAGGTTCAATTAAAAGGTGCATTGAAATAATCTAAAACTGAAAATGTCCACAAAAAGTTATATTCTTTAATCAACACTGCATTGGAAGTCCCTAAGTATTTCCCTGCAATGGTAAATATGTCAATCATGTGCTTACATCCAGGAGGTGGTTTTTATCAAATGTTAATCTGAACTGTTGTAATTTTAAAATTTTTCTAAAATAAAAAACCTTTTCAAAAGCATGTACATGCTATATTTAAATATGAACAGTCTTATTTGATGGAAACCAGGCCTCCTTGATCAGTGTAGTGACGTAACACCTTTGCTTCCGGAAAGGGGTTGGGTTTAAAGGAGCCGAATTTCCTGTCATGTCGTTTGAACAGAAAGTAAGCGCTGAAATGACAGTTGAGGAAAATGTAAGTAGCTCTGCTTATTCTCGGTGCTTTCTGAAGGTTTTATTAATGGAGGTGCTTCATTACGTGGCCCAGCAGCAGGGGGTTGTCATGACGACACTGTAGAAAACAGCAGCGCGTGCAGGTGAAACTTCTTACCCCAGGCTCACACCGACTCCGGTCTTACCGTTGTGGTGCGGTGGGTGCGGCGCCGCAGTGATTCCAAGTCATTAAAAAGACGTAAACCTCTCTCACCGGCTGCTGAGCTGTCCGGCTGCGGTTACCGAGACACTCCGGCGCTGCAGAAAATTCCGCAAGAAAGCTATCCTTGCCGCGTGCCGTAGAACCTCCGCAACAAGCTCTCGCAAATATCCTTATTTGGGCCGTGTTATCGCGTGAAGTTACGTGAACTCAAGTGAACTTCTGTTAAATCTCCGGACCTGTTGCCGGAGCCGCAGAGCCGCACCGCACCGTAGTCAAAAGGGCGGTGTGAGAGGGGGTGTGCGGGAGTTGCGGTCTCTGTCGGCTCGGTAAACGCACCGGAGCCAGTGTGAGCAAGGGGTTAGCTGGAGCTCTGATGAACGGGTTGCCTTAAAGCTGCGAGATCAAACCTCTATGGAAGCCCCATTTGAAAGTAAAAAAAATAATGGTATGTCCTAATTATGAGATACTCAGTCATAATGTTGACTTTCATTGTCATGATACTCAAATGCTGTATCTGTATAAAATAACTACTAATTTTGCCTTCATTGATACTAATTGCAAGTGTCATTTGTATATTTTTGCATTAATTACGTTAGATTTCAAGATAATTTTCACAAAAGATTAATCCCTCACTTAAAAAAATCCCAAATTATGTTATATTTGTGTTATTTTGCATTTATTTGGCTGATAATTTAACTAATGAAAGTAGAGATTGAAAAAGCTGATTTGCTTATGTAAATGGCTATATTTTTTATGCCTTTATTATTTGGCTTTTTTTTTTATCTCTATAGTTTCAAAAAGGGTATTCATTATTGAATATTTTCCTTTGTATTGAAATCCAATTGGGAACATAGGTATCAGGTAAATCCTACTTTGAAAGTCAAAATTATGACTTTATATCTCATCATTATAATGTATCAGTTACCTTACATTTTTATACTTTATTTGGTGAAAAGGGGCTACCATATTTTTCTCTAAATTCCTTAAAACTGGCATCAGATTTGGCTTTTCCCCTAGAAACCAGCTCATTATGGCCAGTTTATTTAGCTTGAACATTTGTTCTAAATATTTTAAGCCAAAGATCTGCTTCATTGGCAAGCTTTAAGAAGCAAACTCCTCTGTGAACATCACATAGAGCAAAGTTATAACCTTTGTGGTGGTGTGTCGTTTTTCATCAGTATGCACCTTCAGCTCAAATTCCCTAGTCAGAGGAGTTTACCTACGGTGGCCGGGAGGTGAAAACCAACATTTACAAAATCTAAAAAACTTTTACAAGTTCCAAAGCAAATTATTATTTCAGAAAAGAAATTTACATTTTAAAAAACACTTTTACAAAAAATTATAAAAATAAACAAAACACTTTTAAAAGTGGATCTCAGAGATAAGCAAAAATGCTATTAATTTAAGCAGGTATATACAACTTGGCCAGTGAAATTGGTATTTTTGCCCTTAAAATAAGAAAATTGAAATGATGCACTTTTAATAACAGTGTTTTTTGGTTTGTTTGTTATTTAAAACGCAAATCCTCTTATTTTATTGGAGGATTGTCTTACTGACCTGCTCCAGACGAGGGGAAAATACAAGAAGGTATTACAAAAAAAATAAAGACATCAATCATTTTTTGCTGTGTAAATTCCATAGGTCTGCCTTGCAAATCTTTGACCCGTTATTTGAGGAAAACAGCATTGATTTTTAGGGAAAATGCAAAAACCCAGAGAGGCTGGTTTGTGTGGCAGACTGGAATGGCCAGATTTTCATTATGAAAGATCTTCACCAATCTTTTGGAGCCATGTTGTAATGAAAAGGAATAGAAAAAAAAAAACATGATGATCAGCTCAGTAAAGGTAACCCCTAACTACCACGATATATCAACTTAATTCTCGAAATGGCGAGTTTAAAGTCGACAGGGCGAGTTTAAATACGACACGTCGAGATTAAACTCAACAAGACATTTCAACTTTATTCTCGAAATGGCGAGTTTAATGTCGACATGTCGACTTTAAAGTCGACATGTCGAGTTTAATCTCATCATGGCAAAAATATTTTTTCTCTTCATGTGTGGCCCTAATATACGACGGAGTATTAGGGCCACACATGAAGAGAAAAAATATTTTTGCCATGACGAGATTAAACTCGACATGTCGACTTTAAAGTCGTCATGTCGACTTTAAACTCGCCATTTCGAGAATAAAGTTGAAATGTCTTGTTGAGTTTAATCTCGACGTGTCGTATTTAAACTCGCCCTGTCGACTTTAAACTCGCCATTTCGAGAATTAAGTTGATATATCGTGGCGACTTTAATCTCGACATTCCAAAGTTTGGAGAAAAGAGCAACCGCGCTCGACAGCTGCAGTCTGCGTTTGGAGAAAAGAGCAACCGCGCTCCACAGCTGCAGTCTGCGTTTGGAGAAAAGAGCAACCGCGCTCCACAGCTGCAGTCTGCGTTTTAAGAGTGAAGGTAGTCTTTGACGTGCTGCAACTGTATAACTGTATAATCATCACAGAAAGTACAATTTGACCAAATCATCTACACAAGGCATGTCTGATTCTGGATTCTGTGCATGTATCCTGAGCAGCGGTTGGCTCTCTTGAACTAATTTCAACTTTATTGTCGACACGTCGAGATTAAACTCAACATGACATTTCAACTTTATTCTCGAAATGTTGAGTTTAATGTCGACATGTCGACTTTAAAGTCGACATGTCGAGTTTAATCTCGTCATGGCAAAAATATTTTTTCTCTTCATGTGTGGCCCTAATACTCCGTCGTACTAATACTCCGTCGTACCTAACCCCCCCTGCTGTTGTCTTTTAGGTAACAATAACTTGTTAATGGCAAGGCAAGCCTGGCTGGATTCTTCCCTGCGGCGCTCAGGCAGACTGGGCTTGGAAGTGCTGGAACGAGCCTCCAGGCGCAGCGTCGACTGGACAAGCACGGCTGCATCCCAGACCCCCTCATCTGAAGATGATTTTGTAGCTGCAAAGGTGCAAACATTCTTACCTATTTTTTATTTTTTTGTCCATCCACTGGTCAGATCATATTTTTCTTTGACAAATAAACTCCTACTTTATTTTCCCCTCCAGAGAAAACATGACGTTCATGATGCCTTTACAACTATTGCAGACTTCATGGCAAAGACGAGCTTTCATTGCAAGGTTGGGGAAGATCCTAAACAGTCCAAGCTTACTTTGCCTTGCAAAAAATATTATTGATCAATTAAATATTTCGATCAACAATATTAAATATATTGTGATTGTATGGATATACAATATAAAATAGTGAATAACAGTGACTTGGAAGGAAATTGATGTTTTAAACATTAAAGGTATAGTGGAGGAAGTTCTTTTTCCGGGTGGATCATCAAAAGAAGTGGTCCTCCTAATTGTCAATCATTCTGGTGTTATGTTTACGTAAGGCCGTCCTACTTGCTCATTCCCATTTTCACTTATTGGTGGTGAGTCTGACGTAGTGGAAAAATTGCAAATCTTCTTTTGGTAAGTAAGCTTGTATAATCGATGCAAACTGCAACTTTTAAGCAGAGCATAAAAGAGGAGAAATGGGCTTGTGCACGCTCTCGCACACGTTTAATAGGCGTTAGCTCTCAGGAGTGGGTACAGAGTTGTGCATGAGCATTTGTTTCTTAAGTGGAGAAGTTGGGTCTTTTCAAAAATTAACGAAAATCCTCCACTAAACCTTTAACATTTGAACATTGTAGCCTCTGTAACTGATAGGCATAAATGGAAGCCAGACAAAATACGATAAAGGAGGAAATGAAAGATTTTAGCAAATTTGAAAACCAGCTGTTTTATCGCTGCTTCACAAATATAGACTCTTTTATAGATGGAAAGAAAAAAAAATGTAATACAGACATAAAACTTTGGAAAATGGTTGTGAGAGTAACTTTTCTGTTTCCTCAAATGTGATTTCAGATTATTTTTGTTACATTTTTTTAATTTTATTTCACAGATTTTTTTTCACAGATCTTTGTTTTTTATTTATTTTTTTTTTTTTTTCAAATTTCTGTTTATCAGATTGAATTTTACCAAATGCATTTATCTTATCAAGTTCCGTTTTCAAGATCACATTTTTTAATTTCAAGCCCACTACAATCGCTTGCTCTTGACCACTAAAAGTGATTTTACCAGCATCCATGCAGACCAATAGCGTTGAATCTTCACTTCTCCTTCAGAGGGAGGCCCGCCCCCAGAAGTGAAGGGAATGGGATCTGTAATATACAGTTTGAAAAGGATGCAATATGTAAAACTCAGCCTCGAAAACAGAAATCTGAAGAAAAATAAATAAATACATATGAAACTAAAAAAAAAAACTGCAAAAGAAATGAGAAAAAAAGTAATTTGAGAAAATAAATTTGGAAATAAAACTGAATTTAGGAAAAACCAAAACATAAAATATTCAACAGAGTGTAATTTCTTGATTGGATTTTTTTCCATTTACAAAACATCTGTGCTTGCAACAATAATTGAACAAAATACACTCCATATGACATGCACTGTGTCATGTTTGTCCTCACTTTTAGGTGTAATATAAGATGTGAACAAGTTAATACAGCTGGGAGACTGTAGACCTTCAGCCAGACACACACAGGACCAAACATTGTCTTTTTTTTCTTGTTTTCGATGCAGAGGTTTTATGAGTCTGGCAGCTGCACCGAGCCCAGCGATGCTGAAAAGAACCACATTTCCAGGTTCCACACACGACCAGGAGCTGGGCCAACATCTGCACTGCCGAGAAGGAAAAGTGTGAGACTCAGCTGTGATCAAAACCTTTTCATGTTATTCTGCTTTGTTTTGTTTTTCTTTTTTTTAAGCTTTAGAGGCTTTTTTACATTGGACCCTTGATTTTACGTTATATCATCCGCGCGCCAGACTGGAGTTGTGACAAGCAGCCCGGGCCACAGGCGGCTACGTGCTACCCCTTTTATTCATTTGACTAGCTAATCTGAATCGTTCAATTCCATTTGGAGAGCGAGATCATCTGTGGTAGTAGCACTAGACATCACCAGGCATGTAGGTAAAACTAGTAGCAGTTCAGCGGACAGGATGAAGGAATGATAGCCGGCGCATGCGGATGACGTCATACACGCGACGCTTCGTTTTTTAAAGATATAAACATAAAAAAATATAACCGCGGTTGTCTGGGGGACAGTGATACGCCTACATGTTATGAATGCTGGCGTACCATAAAGAATAAATTAAGAACTGTTTAGTTTGTGCCTTCAAGTCGTTCGCCAATAGGAAGACGTTACTTGGTTATAACCTAATGGAATATCTTCTGAACAGCTCCAAATGACACAAAGCTAACGTGGGTGAGTAGAACATGATGTAATAACGTAAAATCAAGGGCCAAATGTAAAAAAAAATGCGTTTCCCTTTAATGAAATTGGGAAAAAAGGGGTTTGAATTTCCTACTGTGACAAACAGCTTAAAACTACATTACTGTGTATGTTGTTTGGATAAAAGAAAAATCCTTTCTGTTTGGTTTCCCTTTCCACAGGCCTCTGTCTCTGCGACGGGTGAAGACTTTTACATTGAGGTGTCACCTGGAACGTACGCTATCACTGCCAGTTTGCCTGATTCACAGCGACAGACTAAGCTGGTCAGCATTAAACCCGGCGAGAGCGTCGATCTCACGTTTAACCTCTAGGTGATCCAACCTAGCAGCCCTGCGCTTCAATAACAAAGCTGACCTAGCTAAACTGCACGTGTGCCTCCTGCCTTTTTTTTTTCTTTTATCCAGACGTCTGCTTTCAAATTTTTCACTTGAAATGTATCTATTTTTTGATTATGGAAAAACAGTATTAATGGATCTTTGATATATTAATTTTATTTGAATATTAGATTTTTTTTTGACCAGACATCATGTAAGCATTTACAGATTTTATAATCAGTGACTCTACAGGAGTATTTTACAATAAAGTGTATATTTTTTATTACTTTCTAGGTTTTTGACTAAGATAAGAAACTTGTTGCTTATTCCACATCCAGTAATACATTTGGTGGATTTTTTTTTAAATCGTTTTACCAGGTGGGATCATACAGGGAGAGATTTCTATGGCCACAATCTCTCTACATGGTTTAGAGTCTGGGGTTAGTGAGTGGCCATTTCAGTACCAAGTCCTCTACGTGTATGGAATGACTTTTGTTCTCTTATTGTTGCAAGCAACAAACTCATATTTAGATTTCATTTAATATGTTTTTCTAATTTTAATATTCAAACTTTATATTTTTTACATATTTTATGTTGCTTAGCTTTTTTTTTTTAGTTGTACAGGTTGCATTCTTGTCAAATCGTGTTTCCCAGATCAGATTCTTTTCTCTTTAAACCCCATTCAAGCACTCAGCAAATAGAAACATTGGTAACGTCCACGGAGATGAATAAAAATGCATCTTTGCTTCTCAGTTCAAAGGAAGACTCGCCCCTGAGAATTGAAGAAAATGCAACTTGAAAAGAATGAGATTTTTAAAAATCTAAAAAAAAAATTGAAATACGTGAATCTATGTAAACCTCAAAGCTGCTCTTGAGCTGCTTTGTTTTATTTGCAAGTTTTTCAAAGTTTAATTTCTGTATTACGTTCATTTAGTTTTTTCAAAAAGTTTCCATTCGGAGAATGTCTTCTTTACCCGCAGAAATAATGAAACAAAGTTCTCTCTATATTACACAGAAAGTACACAAAGTACATTGCAATGGCATAAAGGTAATTAAATGATTAATGAATGTAGGTCAATTAATAGATTACAAATGGATAATTATAAATAAATTGAAAAAAATAAAATGATCACCTAAAAACATAAACTATGAATCATAGATGAAACATTAAGAAAAAGAAAAGTTAAAGTCCATATGACCTATTTTTCTGTTTTCCAGCTAAAAGCTAGAGCTATTTTTTATTAAAAAGTCCTGGTAGATGTCAATAGCTATGTTTCCATTAATTATCCAATTGTAATTACAAAGATAATGGAAACTGCAATAAAAAAGAAACTCAAGTTTTTCCACAACAAGTTTTTACACTTTGATGGGGTGGTTTTTCGATACCATTGAAGTTATTATATTTCACAAAACTGTAATTGACAGAAGTTAACCACAGCTCTATTTTAGGTCTTTAAAGAGTGGCCCCAGACTCTCCTCCAGTTTATTCCAAAGCAACGCCCTGTCAGGCTGCGGTCTACACAATCTGTAAGCACACAGGACAAACCCCCGAGTCTCCCTATTTCTAACATAAACACAAATGGTTTTCTGTAGCCAACAAGCAATGGTGGACAACCACAGAGAGATAAAACCGGAGTTTTGGCAGCAGGATACCACAACTATACACACAATGAGCAGGAAATTAAAACTAAAATTCCTCTTTTAGAAGAAATGGACGAAAAGCACAAGAGCAGGTGCTATAATATGGCTATATTTCATAAAAAGGGTGTGTTTGATTTTAAAGGCTGCGTCCTCCAAGGGCTGGATCCTTCAAGGTCAATGAAAATAAGGAGAGGAAACTTCTGGCTGTGGATTCAAACAGGTCTAGCCTTCGGCGCCTTTCACTGCCCATACGCTCTGTCTCCTTGTAACCGTGAGAGTTGAAACACAAAACAGGAAATGAATGAATAACAAACTTCTCAAAACTGTTTCTTTTTATTTATTCATTTGCTTTACATTTTGGAGGAGCTTCAGCAGCTGTACTGTATTCGATTTATAGTCCCCACACTACAGATATGTTTACTGTTATAATGTAAACTGGAAAATTCCCTCACAGAATTGTTGCCACAATTAAATGGCCAAGCTCCATCTTATATCAGAGATATTAACATTCCTTATGTTCCTAACAGAGCACTTCGCTTTCAATCTGCAGGTTTACTAGTGGTTCCTAGAATTTCCAAAAGTAGAATGGGAGGCAGATCTTTTAGTTTAACAGGCTCCTCTCCTGTGGAACCAACTACCAGGTTTGGTCCGTGAGGCAGACACCCTGTCTACGTTTAAGGGTAGGCTTAAAACTTTCCATTTTAATAAAGCTTATAGTTAGAGGTTATCCTGAGCCATCTCTATATTTATGCTACTATAGGCTTAGACTGCTGGAGGACATAGGGAACCCTATTTCATTATTCTGCTTCATTCTATCTCTATTCTCCCATTCTGCAGAATCAGTTAGTTCAATCTCTGACGTTCTGCTCTCTCTGCTTGTTCTCATTATAGCTTTGCCTTGTCTGTTTCTCTTTGGCTGTGACACCATCATGGAGAGAAATATCAGCTGTGCTGCTGCCATCAACTCCTTTGTCTATGGATGTTGGAGATCGGCCTGTTTTTCAGTGTAGTCCTGTTTCTCTCACTGTGACTGGCTGGATGTGCTCTCTTCATCGTCTAACATGGGAGCTGGCTCGGAGCTCGTCTGCCTGGCTGTGTGTTTCCTGGACGGGGCCGCCTTTTACAGCTGCTTTTTGTATCTCTGCTTCTGTTTCCTTAAACACCAGTCGGCCTCGGCAGATGGCCGCTTACACTAAACCTGGTTCTGCTGGAGGTTTCTTCCTGTTAAAAAGGAGGTTTTCCTCTCCACTGTCGCTACAAGCATGCTTAGTGTGAGGGATTGCCTTCGAGTGAATGAGACGATGCAATCAACTGGTTTTCCTTAGATAGAAAACTTTGAATGTATATGAGTTGGTGAAATGTAAAGTGCTTTGAGATGACATGTGTTGTAAATATATAAATAAACTGAATTAAATGAGTTTGAAGCCTAAACTTTTTTTCATTTTGTTGTGGTTAACATTTTGCTTCTTTAAGGACCTTTAAATTATGCATAAGTTAAGCAGTTTAAAGGTCCAGCCTAAAATTTTTGTGCATTTAACCAGAGGAACCTACGAAAGAGTATGGCATTCACAAAAGAAAAAAAAAAATCAGAAAGCTTATCATAATTGTGAGATACTGGTCTCGTACTAATGAGATAAGCATATATACATATATATATATATATATATATATATATATATATATATATATATATATATATACATATATATATTTACGTATATATATATGTTTATATATATATATATGTATATATATATATATATATATATAACCGTCCGAACCGTTCGGTTCGACTGTCTCATTTCGATTCGCGTGTGTTGCGTTCGGTTCATGCGCGGCTCCTTTTTCTCATAAGCGAAGCGTGTACACTCCAGAGCAGAAGGTGGCGGTACTGCGACCAAAGCCAACCACCAGTAGTAAACAAGAAGAAGAAGAAGCGAAGCAGCTTAGCCGGGTGTAGCAGGGAAAAAATCAGTTGTTGTGGAGAATTGTGTCGGAATGGCGAGTGGGAAAGAACAGGAGTTGGAAGACGCGCCAGCAGCACTTTATAGGTCTGCTGTATGGGACCACTTTGCATTTAGAGTGACCTACGATGACGGCGGAAAGAAAGTTGTGGATAAAAGTGCAACAGTGTGCAAGCATTGTGCAACACGTTTTGTTTATGCTAACAGCAACATGACCAACATGTCATGCTAACCCCGAAATCCCACATACTTTGTCAGCAACCCCCGCTGCGCTCCAGACCGGCTGCACAAAGCAAAGCCTACAGCCTCCACCGTGGCTCCCATACGCTCCCCTCTGAGTCCCTTGGAGATGGTAGAGAGCATGCGCAAGATGATTAAATTCAAAGCAGCAAAACATACGGAGATGATCCAGGGTTTCCGCGGATCATTAAAAATAATTACAATCCATTATTTTTTGGGGGATTTTTTCATTAATTTCATACATTTTTATGGGATTTCGGTGTAACAATCAACATATACCGAATCGAACCGTACCGAAAACCGTGACCACGAAACGGTGAATCGAACCAAACCGTGGATTTTGTGAATCGTTCCACTCCTAATATATAGCCATATTTTTCAGTACAGATTCTGCCATAGAGATTTATCTAAGAAAAATTATCGCTAGTAACTCAGTTTTCTACAGATGTTTTTTTTCTGGGTTCTACAGTAGTGTAACTGCATTTGTTCATTTCATTTTATTGTTTAGATGTATATGAAATGACAAAATCCCTAGAATACACAGATTCAATCAAACAGTTCTACATTTCTATTTTGCCTTGCTTATTCACGACAGATTTGGCCTCAAGTCCCCGCCACGATGTCGTTTATAACGTCTTAAATCTATTCGGGCTTTTTTATTTCCTCTTTCTCAGGCAGGGTGGAGAAAATGAGAAGAGAAAGTTTGTGTTCATTTTAATTTTAAGAGGAGAGGGCGGGTCTTTTCAGAAATTCACGAAAATCCTCCACTTTATATTTACTGCAGAGCAGGATACGAGTCCCTGCCTGTTCTATTTTTAAAACAGGCAGGTGGTTAGACAACGGTATGGCAGGCCTTTTTGACATTTATTAGCTTGAATGAATATATATTGCACATGTCTCAAATGCATTTCTTTCTAGTCAAAATGAACATTTCAGATATCTAAAATGTAATTCGTACTAGTACAAATGACGTCATGTTTATTGGGCTTTTATTTCCAGATATCTAACATAACATTCGTCCTATCTAAAATGAATTCTGACGAGGATGAAATCTAATTTCAGATCTCCACAATAAAGTTACTAATCATAACTCATAATTACTGTTTCGGATATCAAAAATGAATATAACATTACAGAATTTAGATAGGAAGAATATTATATTAGATATCTGAAAACGTCATTTTGACTAGGAAGAAATGCATTTGAGACATCTGAAATATATATTCAGACAAGATAATAAATGTCAAAAGGGCCACTTAAAATTTGTAAAAATTTCTTGGTATTTGAAAGTTTTTTCTTACTAGTACAATTCTGTTTTTGACAGCCTGAAATGTAATTTTTGCAAGAAAAAATGTAATATAGGATATCTATATGTACATTTCTGGCTAGTAGGAATGTAGTTTTGACTAGGAAGAATCTTATTTCAGAGATCAACAAACGGAACAATAGAGAGGAGGGGGCTCCTATTAAATGTCAAAATGGCCTGCCACAGCGGCTGTTCTATTAGAAAAACAGACCGAATTCTTCCTCTGGTCTGCGACACGTGCAGACCCGGCTGCAGAAAGAAATTAAAGGGGGGGCATTCCATTTTTGGGGGGGGGGGCACACTTTTTCAGCAAAAATTTGATTTACTTCAAGCTTAACACTAGCTTTGTGACCATTCATTCAGTAAAATAAATCTCAAATCTTTATAAAAACATTTATTAAAATTATTTTAAAATTTTTTAAGAATAATTTGCTGAATTAGAAATAAGCATTTGTTTGATTCTTAGTGTTAGAAAAAAATGTGTCCTGACAGGTTTTCTGAACCATGACTATTGTCTCCCCCAGCTGCTGGTAGAAACAAGATTTTTTACAATCATTCAGAAACTGGATACGTGTTACATCTGTATTTTGTTGATAAACATTTATTGAACATTGTTATTGATAAAATTTTAGGTACAAGTAGGTCCAGATTAAATAGTCAAAGATCCACAAAATATACAAAATAAACAATAGTGTAGTCCTGTGGCCATTCAAATAACTCAAAAGTTAACCCCTAGTTTGAATCAGAGTCTTTCAAAGTGAACTATTTAGAAATCTGAGTGCAGTATTGACTGCGGGTTATAAAATCTGACCTCATAAAACACCGTAACGTGTAACTTTGAGCTTAAATCATTCAGTCAGGGGCATTATTCAGGTTTAAATGTTCTGTGCTCATTTCATTTTTTTTTTCTTTTAAGAGACACAAATTACCCTGCAGGAGAAAGAGAAAGCATGCAATATATAATATTTACACTGGGAAACAAACAGCATTAAAACTTTCATATATCTTATTAGCCCTTTTTTACGACGGAGTATTAGGGCCACACATGAAGAGAAAAAATATTTTTGCCATGACGAGATTAAACTCGACATGTCGACTTTAAAGTCGACATGTCGAGTTTAAACTCGCCATTTCGAGAATAAAGTTGAAATGTCTTGTTGAGTTTAATCTCGACGTGTCGACTTTAAACTCGCCCTGTCGACTTTAAACTCGCCATTTCGAGAATAAAGTTGATATATCGTGGCGACTTTAATCTCGACATTCCAAAGTTTGGAGAAAAGAGCAACCGCGCTCCACAGCTGCAGTCTGCGTTTTAAGAGTGAAGGTAGTCTTTGACGTGCTGCAACTGTATAATCATCACAGGAAGTACAATTTGACCAAATCATCTACACAAGGCATGTCTGATTCTGGATTCTGTGCATGTAACCTGTGCAGCGGTTGGCTCTCTTGAACTAATTTCAACTTTATTGTCGACACGTCGAGATTAAACTCAACATGACATTTCAACTTTATTCTCGAAATGTCGACTTTAAAGTCGACATGTCGAGTTTATTCTCGTCATGGCAAAAATATTTTTTCTCTTCATGTGGGGCCCTAATACTCCGTCGTACTTTTTAGATGAGCTTTGCACTGAAATAGGTTTGCTTTAGGAAATGTAAAGCTGATGTATTTGCTAACCTTTTCTGTGTAGATTCAAGCTGGACCCAGTCCAGGCTCATATCACATATATGCTGGAATGACTATATTGCACCTGAAACTCTATTTTCATCATTTGATGTATTTAAAAAGAAAGTGATTGGAAAAGCGTTTTTTTTTTTTTACTTCAGTGTTGACTGTCTTGCTTACATTTCCAGCAGAAACTGCTCCCTGGCCACTCTCATTTGCTCTGTTTTCAGTACTTGTCCTTCTATTGCTTTGAAAATAAGCCCGAATATCCATACCGACGCGCACTGGCTGGTGACCAGACGGATTTAAAGCATGTGCGAACGTTAAGTATGTTTGACTCAGTGTCCCGCGACTCCCGCCCCCTCTGTTGTTTGATTGGATGTTGTCTTTAGTCGTCGGTTTGATTGGTTGAA